TTTTTGATGTCATCTCCCGCATTCCGACCTCATGCGGTCTGTCGACGCTCACGGCGGAACCCTCAGTATTCACTGTCTACTAGTAGTTCGGTCGTACCTCCCTTCCTCACTGCTCGGCTGAGCTCCAAGCGTGCTGTGGCCGATCGCATCTCGGTTCCTCTCGTCTGGCCTCTTTGACGCGGCGTACCAATCCGGCCCAGACGGTCTCAATTGTGAATCTCGTATACAATGCCATTTGCAAGCCAGTCCTGTCTGACCCACATTCGTACCCATCAAGGCTGACATTTATTGCTACCCTGACGATGACCGACAACATTCCGTTATATACCGCCACCTACAGGCCAGTCCTGCTTGTTTTTTTCTGTTATTATTTTTATGGAGTGGTTTTTTTTCTCCTGTAAAATCAATTCAATCATTTTTAACTTTTAGTAAGGAGTTTTTTTTACCCCTCAATCATCATGTTTCTCAATGGACTTCTAATTCAGAAACTATGAATTGCATTTTGTAAAGATTCGGCCTACCTCGTCTAAAACTCGCATGCAAATTTATTTTAACTTGCTTTGATGGGACCCCGACGGGTCTTTAATAAAAAATTATCTATCTAAAATTATCTATCTACAGAACTTTCATACGCTAAGTCCATCGTCTCCGAAAAGTCGGTTTGGTGACGACTTCCTAATGTGTGTGTTATAGCACGAGAGCAAACGCTGGTTCTCGGTGCGCAGTTCAAGAGACTGACGCGAAACGGCATTTTTAGACGCTACGCAGATTTGACTTCCAGGATAAGAACGAACGAGAAGGTAAGTTTAGATACGATTATCTACTTGGAACTTTCGGGCAAGCGACTACAGCTCCAAAATTTCCCACAGCTGCAGGCTGCCATCCTGCATCTAGCATACTAAATTACACTTGTGTCTACTTCGCCTGAGTCCATGGAGACACCTCTTCAGGGAAGTTGTGGTTGGAGAACCAGGTAAACTTTCTCCAGTTAAATGCTACTTTACAGATCAGTGCGGTTAAATTTGGCGGCGAACTCCACGTTAGCTCGGTATGCATGATGTACAGCCACATCTGTAACCGGATGTTGGTGTTTGTATACCGCAAGTTCCGCTGCTTTAGAGGCGAAACCAGACAAGGGCTCCTGGAAACGATTTCTCAGATCAGGCTTTTCGCTGGTCGGTTAAAGGTTTATTTGAGAAGTAGGTCTTGTCTTAAAAACAGTCCTCGTAAATTCATTTGAGATAAATTACAGAATGAAGGACCTTGTTAACATGCAAAGACGCATTCTGATATCCGACCCGTCGGCGATAGAAATGACAGAGGCCATATATCAGATGAAGAGCGGCCGTTAATCTGATTTCCTCTGCGACAAAGAGGGCTGGAGGCAGTGTACTTCACAACACCAACACCGAAATCCGTGCTTGCTCAGTATGCAAAGGTGGTGCAGATGAACGGCAACTACCGCACTAACCGCCATGGTTTTGTGTTGTATCACATAGTAATCACTGGCAAACATGTTCGTGCGCAGTCGGTGTTCTTTTCATTCATGTACGGATAAACGGCCGAAAACATTGATCGGGTCGTTTGAAAATTTAAGTACCTGATGGGCCCTGCTACCAAGGAAATACGAACGGTTTCTATTGACATGGATGCCAGAGAAATACGAGCCTGAAGACGTATTTTTCCAGAAATTGAGATCACTATTTTACTATGTACTTCTCATGCACTCCAAGCCTTTAGACGCATAAGCTCTATTACAAAAGGGATAGCTGATATATCCATGTATTTTGTTAGGAACGCTGTGAGAACCCTTAGTCTTTCAGCATATAGGTCTGTAGTGCGGCATATCGAAAGTAATTTTCCGGGGCTATGGTCCTATGTCCAGGAAAATTGGGTGATTTGCAGGCACATGTGGACCTTTCATCCTCGAGCGCGTGTTATAACCTATGATGGCAACACGACGAATAAGACCGAGAGCCTTAATCGAGTGTTCAAACAATGGTGCAGGCCCTACATGAGCATGACGGACTGTGCACACAGTCTGGCGACCTTTCTAAAGAAGAGGTTGACAATGAAAGAATGGGGGCTGAAGACACGTAAATTAATTTAACTCGAACACAATCTCAATGTCAGGCTGACGTCAATGTTCTTCAAATTCCGCGATTAGCGATATATTCATTACTCGAAATTCTACCACACTCTAAGCCTCAATCTCTACGTTGTATATATCGATCTTTTTTCTAACTTTGATAGTATGTTGTCTTGGAACTCATGTTCTTAACCTAAAACAAACTCCCAATTCGTGCACTTTTGAGAAAACAGACCCCCAAAACTAACGAGGCCAAAGTGCAGTCGAAATGGGTGAGTTTGATTTAGTTTCCTTCTTGTGCTCAAAGGAGACTGACAGTGCCCAAGAGGTGCTATGGTAAACCTATTCTATTCTAAGAGTACTGCCATTGCATGCAGTATTATGATTGCCGCCTATGCTACATCCTCGTTCATAGCAATTGCCGGCAGTGTATGCGTGGCGTGGTGTAGATTTGTGCAACGTTCATCCAAACGCATCGACGAAGCTGGAGTGACTGTTCAACTAAAACGCGGGCACATAATTGCGACACCCTGTACAGTCGTACCCCATCCAGTGGTCTATCAGGGCAAACCTATGAATAAATGTACCACCATCAAGGATTTAGGTCTAAGCTCCACTAATAATCTTGATCTCTCGCCACACGCTGACAGAATTACAGCCAAAGCTGTCCGGATTTATGGCTTAATTTTTTACAATTTCTATATTCCCAAAATTAAATTACGAATCCATTGTACGTTTGTACTTCCCATTATCGTATATAGTTACGCATTCTTTGGTTAGATGAACGAGGCTAGTCGTTCAAAATTTAAAAATGTGTAAAAACATTTTACTAGGAAACTCTTAGGTACGGAGCACCCAAATATCTCCTACTTAGATAAGTGCCAGATAACCAACCTAAAATATTTATGGGTTCAACGACTGGGAGCAGGCTTCTGTCTCCTTTTGCGCATTAATAATAGTTCAAATCCTCCTTCGGATTTCAGCACTTACCCCTGGTATTCGCCCATATAATCTTCGCAATTCTTCCTTAATTATGCCTCCTCCCGCTTCCTTCACCTCTAAGCGCCCTCTCTTTTTCTCGCTCCCAGGTATACTTTTCTCTAGAATAACCGTCCAACATATATTAGATCTTCAGACAATCTACATAGTTTTTAGAGAAGGTTGCGTCTTTATCTGAATACTGACTCAATTAAACTTTTATCTTCCTCATCCTTCCCGGAGAACTTTCTTTATGACACCGAGAAAGGGCCACCGGGAATTCAAGTCACCGACATTAAATTACCGTCTCCGTTCACATTTCCTTCTTTTATGTGTAGTATCGCTCCCTAGGATCCCTCATCAGAAGTGCTGTTTTTTCAGTTCATGTGGTCACCTCCTCATTTCGACCCCAAGCGCTCTATTAACGCCCTTGGCGGGACCTTCTGTATTCGCCATCTACCTGTAGTGTGGTTTCATCTCCCTTGGCCCCTCCTCGTCCGGACTCAAAGCGAACCGTGACCTATCGCGTCTGGGTTCCTCTTGTCTCACCACCTTGACGCGAATGGCCTCATCCAGCCTATGGATTCTGCCTTGATGATGTACTCTTCGACCCTTTTACTCAATATCGCATGCAGGCCGGTCGTTTAAACAACAGACTTACCCCTTCAGGAAATCCGTTATACGCCACCACTTGCAGACCGGCCCTGACCTCTTTATTTTTCATGAGCAACAGTTATTTCGCCTTTAACGTTAATCCAGTTATATCATTTTTTTATTCGTTAGGCGTGTTTTTTACTGTTTCCTCTTCCTTCTTCGTAACATACTACTTATTCAATAAGTATGAATTAAGTACTGTACAAATTCTGTCTATCAAAAGAAGAAGCGATCGCTGGATCGCTTCATCTTCTTCTTCTTCTTCTTCTTCTTCTTCTTCTGACCAACTACTTCCTGGAACTCGCATCCTCGCTTGTATCCGAAAGTTCTGTGTGCCTGTTCTAAAATTCATATGAAAGTTTCTTCTTGCTTGCTATGATAGGACCCCGGGTCTTGAATAAAAATTATTATTATTGACACACTATTGAAACTGGGTCCGCGAAACCAGTCTAGCAACCACCACACTTCCAACGGGAAGTTAGTGAGATGATTCAGATGATGCTCGACGTGGGGATGATTCGCCCATCCCACCCATCTTGGGCGTCCCCTGTTACATTGGTTCCCAAAAGGACGATAAACTGCGCCTCTGTATGATTATCGTCGTCCGAACGCCTTTACGATCAGCTACTCTTCTCCCCTACCGCGTATAGACATTACTCTTGATACGCTAGCGGACGCACGTTGGATTTCAATGGTTGATCTGAAATCAGGATACTGGCAGGTGGAGGCGGATCAAAAAGACGGACAAAACCGGCCTTTATTCTACCACAGGGGCTATTTGACTCTTAAGTAATACTCCTTGGTCTTTGCAGCGTCGCAGCCACGTTCCACCGGTTAATGCAAACTGTGTTGGCGCGCTTATATCCCAGCTGTTGTTCGAGATGACTGGATGATTTTATCGTCTTCAGGAAAACTGCTGACCAGCCTGACATTACCCTCAGGGCCGTGTTGACCGCACTGCGCAACAAATTTGCCTTCCTTGGGCATAAATTTGGTGCTGACGGCACTCGTGCTTCACCTGAGTAGAAGCGATCAAAATCTGGCCTACGCCTAAAACGGTGACGTACGTCAGGTGACTTGTTAGCCCCGCTTCGTATTACAGACGCCTTATTCTACACTTCGCGGAAATAACACGTCCTCTATACCGCCTCACGGAGAAGGGCGAACCTCCAAGTTGACGTCAGAGTGCCAAACAGCCTTCGACTAAATTAAGACGATGTCCACTGCCGCATCTATCCTCATGCCAGCCAGTACCCGACTTCACGCGCCCCCACTTATTCTAGGCACCGATACCAGCGGACTCACCATCGGTGGCGTCCTTCCACAGTGCGATGAAAATGAGATCGAGAGACCCATCGGCTTCGCTAGCTGGACCCTGTCGAAGTCGCAGCGCAATTACTGTACCTATCGCCGGGAGCTCCTCGTCCTAATGGCTCTTGTCAAACAGTTTAAACTCTACTTGTTTTTTTGACATTTTCTCATTCGTTCCGACCGTAAACCACTTCAGTGACTGCAAAAGATCAAGGACGCGCAAGGTGAACTTGCACGTTGGCAAAATACACTACAGCAGTTCGATTTTACTTGCCGGTTTCGGAATGGTCAGTTCAGTTCAGTGAGGGAAATAGGTGTAAGCCTTTGAGTACTCTATTTGCAACGTAAAAAAATGTGTGATATACAGATAAATGTTCTGGACTGAGATAGTTCAAACACACCCATAATGGTAGGACAAAATGAGAACGAGTTACAAGGGGGTAAGCTCTACTTCTCATCGCTCTTGGTCATTTCGGAACATAAATATGTCAAGATTCTTTTTAAAACTTTGTACAGATGGTGAAATCACAACATCTGCGGGAAGGGCATTCCGTGGTTTGACCACTTGAACAGAGAATGAGAACTTTCGCTCATCCAGCCTTGCCTGCTGAGTTCGCAGTTTTAACTGGTAACCTCGGAGGTTGGTCGTGGTAGCAAATTCAAATAAGTCCTCGAAGGCCAGACTGCAATCCAACCCCTTTACAACGCGGAAGGTTTGCAAGAGATCCCGGCGAAGTTTCCTGTAACTCAAAGGAAAGGGGTTCAGATTTACTAGGCGGGTTGCATAAGGAAAGGAGCTTTGACCCCTAACCATCTTCGTGGCTCTCCTCTGAACTCTTTTGAGGCAGTTTTGATCCTCAACCGCCCACGGTCTCCAGGCTTACCCGTAAACAATAAGCCCCAGTCGAGACCGGACAAGTCTGCCCTCATCCGATTGAAGTCGCCTCGCCAAACACTCACACACTCAAGCTGCATACAAATCGATGACACAGTGGCTCATGCGATTTAAAAAGTTAGCCGGACTTTCGGTCGGCTGTAGAAATCCGTCAGGTCCATAGATGCATTGGGCGGCCAATATCAGTTTACTGCTTACCACCCTAATCGTGCCTGCAATACTAGGCTCAGTTGGTGTCGCCTATGCTACATCCTCGTTCATAGCAATTGCCGGGCGTGGTGTAGATTTGTGCAACGTTCATCCAAACGCATCGACGAAGCTGGAGTGACTGTTCAACTAAAACGCGGGCACATACCCGCGATACCCTGTACAGTCGTACGGAGACACACAACAGTTGGTGGAAGTAAATGCAAAGAGATTTGCTGCTCTTAGCTTCGTTGATTTTAAGTATCTTCCGAGGACACCAGCTACCAGGTTGTTTGTGGTAGAGAAAGAAAAAAACAATTACCACCGATGCCCACCTCTGCCACCAGATCAACCGTTAGGCGGTGATCCACATAAAGTGGATTATCACACTGCAGGCAATTCGATGCCCCGCAAGGAGTGGTTGCAAGGCAATAGGACATACCGACGACAGGTAGATCATTGTAGAATGTCACCTGCCAAGGTTGAGCTCGAACACCGACGGAGTACCTTCGAGGAAGATAATCCTATCAGCATTCGACAAGGAGATGCTGACCTTAGGGAGAGCGGTAAACATTCAAATATCCCAAGCCATGGCAAAGGATTCCGCATGTGAAGGTTGGTTCGATAGCCACGACCACGAGGCCCATATCAACAGAGGGCGGAGTCGCCACAAACCGTACACCAAAATTTGTCGCTGAGTTTTGATCCCAAAATACCTTCAACTCAGAGGTGAAAAGGAGTCCGTTGTCTATAAACGGAAGTATTCTGCCGTAGGTGTAATTATGTTGGGAAACTCAGCAGACAACCACAGAAGAGGCTGCATGGACGCCTACACGGGGAAGGGCGGATCCGAATTCTCAGTTGGAAACTGGTGCTATCAAAACGGCGAATGACTTCGAAGATGAAGCAGTCGAAGTCGCAGGTGTGGATAACAACCAGGGGGTGAGGTAGTTACAAGATTTTCGGCTGATAGATGGCCGCTCGATCTCCCGTCACATCAAGGACATCTGACTTTTCGTCACTATTTCAAAAAGGTCCAATCCGTCGGGGCACCAGGAAAGGTGTTCAACAGCCGGGATGCAGTTATAGCAAGCACGCGAGAACATGCGTGGACAGCACATGAATGGCGGCAGCAACTTATCCACGCTCGGCCGAGCAGACAAAAAGTAGTCATGGGCCCTAAGGCATGCATCTTCTTGAAAATTTACAAGTATTTGAATAATACCAGGATTAACTCCCAGATTTTAAACGTACTTGTCCAGGGAACGCTAAGTTTTTCCTCATTATCTTAATGACTCACTTTAGAGAGGGTCGCCTCGACCACAGGGCCAAGCCTTGCATGAAAACCAAGAGAACTTGGGTTGCTGGGTGGTGTAGATATGACGACTTCGCTGGTGACATTCAAGTGATCCTGCTGTCGGCGACGGCGAGCAGCGTTGCAGGTCTGGAAAAGCTCATTCGCGACAAAGATTGTCAACAGGCCGACAAAGACAAGAAACATGACGAACCAGGAGAGTGGAAAACCTAGGAAAAACCAGAAGGTGAAAAAGGTTGATGAGGCGAAGATTGAGACGTGAGATGACTCAACCAGATACCGCACATTTCAAATAACCCACAAAAACCCACAGAATATTTTCAGATTTTGCCCGGGAAGACGGGTTGCTAGTTGGTCCAGCTGCTTGCTACGTGGCGCGTCCACAGGCGGCGGATAGTGGGACGGCCTTCAGTGAAGATCGGCTGCAAAATAAGCAGTTACGGACCAGCAGCAACAGTGCTACCAGGGTGCGGAGGGCAAAGGTCTGGCACACTGAAAGCCTTATAAAAAAGCCGCAAAGCCCGATAACGGCACTGTGACATGGCGACCGCGAACCGCCATTAAAAAAGTTTACTTGCTACCGCTGCCTTGTGGCTAGGCTCTTAAGCCAAAGCGCTTGAGGAGACGACCTCGAACAAACAACCCGAGCAGCTGTTGGGGACCCGCATGTATTTAAAATCCCCAAGGAGCCTCCTCAAATAGGCCCGACTACAGTATCACGACCCATGCTACGGCGTCCGCGGGAACCGACGCGCTCCGAAACCCAGGTCCAGTGGTGCAGGCGAATTGTATGCCAGCTGTACTACTCAATCGGGGATGAACTCTTGGTATTGGATGCTGGAATGTGCGAACGTGCCTGGACCCCGATACCCAAAGCCTGACCGCGCGCAGCCTTAATCAGTACAATGCAGATGTTTGCTGTCTGTCTGAAGTCCGACTTCCTGACTCAGGCTCTCGATAAATAAAGATCCCCGGAGTTAAATCACACTTCGCCCTGTACCACAGCAGCCCAAGCGACTCTTCTGGTAGACACGGTGTAGTTATCGCCCTCCCGCAACAAACGGACCTCGAGTTACTTGCTTGGGAACCAGTCAAAGACCGGATGGTCTACGTGTGACTGAAGGGTCACTTCACGAGCATCTCCATCATCTCTGTGCATGCACCAACTTCAGCGGCCGAACAGCGCGATAAAGAGGTGTTTTACTTGCATTTGCAAACATTAGTTGAAAGACTCCCTCGCCGCGATCTGCTGATTGTCGCCATGGTGGTCGGACTGGACCTGGCGACTCCACAAACAGTCATCTTATTGGCCGCTTTGGGCTTGGTTGTCGATGTGGAAATGGTGAGAGATTGCTGAACTTCGCTGATCAGAACCGATTGCTTGTACCCAACACGTGTTCCTAGCATCGCAACAAACATCCGCTGACCTGTCTGTGGGGCAGCTAAGAAAATCCTTGGATATACCCAGCGACGCCGTAGTGACTGGATCAGCGGAAGAACTCTGCAGTTGAGGGCGTTAAGTTTGCACCCGGACACCGGCTGACTGATTTTGACTATGCCGATCATATTGCCTTACTTGCTACAAATTTTGGTGATCTGCAGTCTATGGTGTCACGGACGAATGAGGTCGCTAAATCGGTCGGTTTATTCACCAACGCGGAGAAGACTAAAGTGCTTTCAAGCTGCATCCCTGGTCAAGAGAAGGCACCTCTCGAGATTGATGGCTGTCAACTTGAAGAGGTAAACAGTTTTAAATAACTCGGGACGAGGCTGCTGCCGAATGGACATAGCAAGGACACTGTCTCCCGAAATGATGCTGCCCGCTGGGTTTTCTCAAGCCTTCGGAAATGCCTATGGATCCGACGTGACACGTCCAGCGCCACTAAGATTCGCGTGTACCGTGCATCTGTCCGGTCTGTCCTTCTCTACGGATGTGAATGCTGGGCTTTGCGTGTGGAGGCCTTGGAAACTTGCGTTCGAATTGAATTATACGGATAGTTAACGGATTGGACTTGCCAGCAGTTAACTGCGTCAAGATGGACAATTTCCAGAAAAAAACAAAACCAACTTCAAACGGCCGAGTTACGAACGAAACGACTAGTCTTCCCTGGTACACGTTGATAGTTCGTAGGTAGGAATCAATGGCTACCGTCACTGTCATAGGGGGCAGTGGCGACTTGTGCGTGACTAGAATTGTAGTGAGAAAGACTTTCGCAGCGAAGTTCCCACACTCCCCTCCTACATTTGTGCTGTTAGGATGACAAGACAAAGTCAGAACGACTGGAGAAGAACTTAGAGATAGCAGCTGTCTTGAAAAAGGGCTTTGGGTCTGACACCGTCGGTCTAGTAGGCTAGTTAAGCAAGCATGCATAATTGCTAGAACTCAGTGGTGAAATGCACGTTTTTCTGAGCTTAGATCTGATCTGCACGGGTTTTAAAACAGTCCGCTGACCCGCATCTGCAAAATAAAATATTTCACAAACCCCGTGTGCAAAAGTGAGTGAGCTAAATTACGCAAACGCTTACAGGATTCAGTGGCTTCAAACACTATGAAGTGAGGACAATCAACCGGTGATATATTTCTATTAGTGAAAATTTTCCAAATTACCCCCTCAACTAAAGGAGGATCAATTAAAGTTGGGTTTGTTGTTTGTCAACCTCGAAAGCCCGATGTGATGGCACTGGACGATTTTTCAAAGTTAGGCAAAAAAGAGAAGCATTCCACAAGGTCATCTTCTTTTAGTTAACCCAAGCTCAGAGTAACCAATACAACTCGTGAAATCACCGGGCAACGACTGCAAAATGCTTGAGCCAGTTAAAAAAATCGTTTTGTGAAACGTGTCACGAAGGATGGAGGTCATGTTCAAAACCACAAAATCAATGTGCATTGCTGGAAAGCGCTCAGATCTCATCATTTGCCTGCCAACATGTGTGTATTCTAAGTTTATCGCTAGACTTGGGCCTTATAACCTCTAATTAAGTGGTCAGGTCGATCAGACCCAGGCTCAAGATCATCGACCCCATTTGTCTAGTTCGCAACGATCCAGAAAATTTTTCACGCTTGTAAAGCGTTGCCTGTCGAGGTTGGAGGCACAAATCGGGAGTGAAATTCTTCTATCTGTCAGTTTAAGGATCCACCCAAGGGGTTTGATACAACATCCAAAGATTATGATGGTGGTAAAGGAGGAAGAAGATGGGGACTAAAGAAGTGCCTACCTTGCAGTTGTTGAAAAATCCCTCAGCAAAATGTGTTGTGAGAACGTAAAGGACTTTTGTCACCGCGTCAGTTTTGGTGACGTTCAGTGGCTGAAGAAAGGCACTTTGATGAGGATCACAAGTCATCTTACAGAAGAGTCGTCGAAAGTTTGCGAAACAAGCAGGACATCTGAAAACGGGAGTCCGCATAAGTATTGTTAGGTGTGCCTGAAGTGAGTGTTTTCATGTCGTAGACTCCTCCAACAAACATGCAGTGCCTAGTATCAATACTAGACCGGAGAGAGGACAAATATAATGCAAAACAGGTAGCTTTTGCATGAAAGAAGCAAGATCGGAAAAAACTAACGAGATTTGATAGAACCGACGGGATTGGCCTCATTCGAAAGTTCCTAGGGTTGAAAAAAGTCACCGTATCACGAAAAATATATGCCTGACACATCGATCGGGGTAGTCGAACTTTTTGGTCAATTCAAAATGATAGGGTAAAAGCTCCCATGTAAACGTCTAACGTCGTTGTTTACCATCCACTTTCTATTCAATTCTGCGTGGTCATACACAACACGTGGTTTAACTGGCGGCGGCCGACAGGTCTAACTATCGAACTGCGTATAGAACACGCGGTTCAATAATTAAGCTGGACAAACAACTACGTCAGGAATTAAATCCCAGGTCCACACGGACCGCCAAAAAAACGGTCATTCCTGTCACCCCTGTCTTTGTAGGTAAGAATAGTACATCTGCCAAGTAATGCAACATGCTTTACAAATCGGTAATTCAAGGCGGTTAGTGGACGATAAGACCTAGACAGCATTGTGTCTTGGTCATTTTTGTCGTGGTTTATGTTGCTGCTGCTTTTCCTGCTCCGCCTCTGTTGCTGCTACCGTAGCGTCTCAAACGTGTATGCGCCTTCCGGCCCTGGCGCATACGACAAGCTACGTACCACGTGATCACGGCTTCCTAGAGCACGTCGCGTGCGTCCTTCCAGCTCTGAGGAAAGCCAATTAAAGGCGTTCATAAACCTTGAAATAACTAAGCAGACGCCGGCTGGAAGATATAAGGTCCCGAAACCCATTCAAATATTCGTAAATGGCGCGATTTGGAGATATTATGAGGGAGTCGAATTCTGGACAGCGATAAGTTACTGGCATTAGGGCCTCCAATCGTTTTCACTGCATCAACTCCAACGCCACTACTACCAAAATTACCAATGCCACCTCCATTACTATTATTACGATCAGTAAACCACCAGTAGCAGGACATCAAAAATGTCACCACCTACCTTCCGAGAAGGACGCTGGCACTCTGGATACCGACTGAAAATGCGTTGACCTGAGCCGCATCGCAGCAAACCGGTACCGACTCTGCGCTACTGTCAGGAGAAGCATAATCTGGACACAGTTCTAGCAGTGTTTGGAGTATTCCATCAGATGTATTTCTGAGAGGAGTGGCGGACACGTTCTTTGCACAGTACGTGCCCTCCGAGTCCTGAGTTGGGCACAGACCGTACCAGATGCACTGGTCGCCAAGCGTAAGTGGCAGGAGCCATGCAAGAACTAGGTCCGTAAGGCGCATGAACTAAAAAAAGAGAAAAGATGGCAGGCTGGAGGTTGGACCCTACAAACAATGTTGAAGTTCTATGATGGAAAGAAGGGCGTATGGAAAAGACGGGAAAAAATCATCGACCACGAAGAGTCAGAAATGGTAGACATCTCGATTGGGGTATTATTATAAAAATAAAAAATGTATGGTGGAGTATACAGCAACAGAGTGATCATGGGTGTAAAAACAGGGCTGGCAGTACTAGAGACCGTACGCGCATGAACATGCACCGAGAGTATCAAACGTCAAGTAATGACGTTCGTGAACGACAGTGGTGCAAATTTTAACATGCGGTCGAGATGAAAAATGGACCTGCATGTGCATACTCTGACGACGTGTTAAAGCGCTCGACTCACGGGCCATTGGAAAGTTCCACTACCTTAGGATTGTGATCAAACGATGGATAGCAATCCACTCCCATCATCGGAAACAAAGGCCTTGCCTTGGATTAGTCACGGCACGAACTATCACTCCCCCTGTCGCACCGCTGATAAAACGCTTGAAAAAAATCGTAGTAGATAGGATTAAACATAAAAAGTAGGAGACGGGAAGATCAATGACTGACATTGTACAGTAGCCTCAGCGGTTGCAGCTGAGTACAAAAAACCTCCCGAGCCGACTGAACGGTTTCATTTCGCCCTTCGTATGAGGTCGTCCGTGAAATACACATCAAAGTGTATTAGTCAGTAATTCAGGTGGCCTTATTCGCTTGTACAAGTTCATCTGACATTACGGGTTCGAGCAACCAACTTTGGGTTTCTGCAGCCTAATTGTAGTTTTAGGCGACAGAAGATGTCTCTTGTCTAAGAACTGGGTCCTTCAACCGCGTTATTTAACTGCTGGCACGGAACAGAACGGAGACAATCAACTAACACGGATCATAGCGATAAACCTCTCCAGTTATAGGCTGTCGGAGGTCGTCGAAAGACTGTCGTTTACATGCCTGATTCAATGCTTAGGCGCTCCGAGGTAAGACCAAAGAACCTAATCTCCAAAAAACAAAAGTCTCGTCGTCTACTAGTTGTAATTTAGTTGCGGAGACTGTAACTACGCTGGGAAACCAAGTTGGTAACTGCAGATAAGGGTGTACGAATAGTACCTAACGATGAGGCGACTGGATCATAATTGTCAGATGACGATGCACGCCACCCTCTGACTTTTCCACGACCAAAGATCAACGACCGAAGCGATAGGTGCACAGCAACCTGCATATCCAGCTCTCCGGGGTTTATGCGACTTTGCGAACACGCATTACAAGTAGACAACCTTACCAGAGACTGTATGGGACACCTGCTCCTTGTGTGGTAAATTCTTGAGACGGATCAAACAGTCGACCCAGGGATTCATGCAAAGACAGAAACGGCGAACCGTGTGAATTCATGAGCTCACTTAGATGTATACTGACGTACACAGCAGCGACTCCCCTTCTTTTGGTAATGATAGTGGGGAGTTTGATAGTGGTATTCGAGATTTCAGACCAAAATTAAATTTTCCCAGTAGTCGCCTTTTTCTCTCCCGTTACTCCACTCCAGCATGAAATCTGCCCCATGATACTTTTAAAGGACTTCTTTAAAATAATTACCTTTGAGGCCATTTGGGTCTCCATCGAGCACAATTTCTGTCAACGTGTGCTAATGTGGTCTGCCACTTCATCGGTGAAAATGCTATTTAAAATGTGCAGTAAGAAATATGAAAAAGGTCGGTCATTTTATTCGGAGCGCCTTGATAAGCACTAAGGCATGTGGTTGTTCATCCAGGTTATGTATATGCGTTTCATAATTTTTAAATAAGCCGACCGCGAAACCATGACCAGCAATGTTCATGGGCATTAATTGTGCGTTCAACACCCACGAGAGTAATACTATGCGGCTGTGTCCTGGAAACAGACCAAATAAGTCAATTTCCGGATGGTATCTCCCCAGCAATATCAGACGAAGGGGATAACTATGGTAACGGCTCAGACCCGGGAATCAGTCTGTCGGATGGAGGCAAAAACTTAGGATTTATCTGAGAGTCAAAGACTCGTGAACGTCTGGCTGCTTTTCTCTTGGAATCTGTAAAACTATGAAACAAAGACGTTGGTATTCAGGGTAAAGCACGAAAGGCTATCTGAAAAACAACTGGAAGACGAACAACGCGTAGGGGCTAAAAATAATGCGACAGGAGCATTAGCGATTAAACCACTGGAAAAAATAAAGGAATCAGAAAGCATAAAACTTAGCGACTGATTACGCTCGAGGACTGGCTTAGCTACCCGACATCGTGCGTCCACGTTCTTAGGGGTCTAATTGTGGGTTGCGTTTGTACTCAGTACGGCTGTGCTTATGCCCATTTTGTTCGGCCTCGAGCATATAGAGAATTGTAACTTCCCACGCCCAACGATCTGCGGCAATGGGTCTGTACAGGTCAACCCATTCACTCCTCCAGCAACGGAGGCTGAATACATAAAGTCCAGCCTTGATGGACTGCAGAGAGCGAGACTATTTTAGATGGGCTGCAGCGTCGGACCAGGGGCAGCATCAGTGCACTCGTGAGGCAGACGTCGAGGATAGACCCAAACCACCTCAGCCGTCTTTTTGTAGGTAGCCTTAGATATCCCTGTGATGTTTTTGCAACAAGTGCGGACTGTCTCATGATAAGGTACGTTAGCGTCCCTCACTTGATGGGTAGGTTACAGCAACAGTGGTCAAATACTTCCAGTCTTTGTTAGCCTTCCGCGCGCACGGCCCAGGAGTCACAACCGTGTAAGGGGGACCGACAATATAGATGCCCAGCACACATGGATTTTCGTGGCGATGGAGATATGGAATCGAGCCTATAGAAACCTTCTAAACGTTGTAAAAATCCTGTGAGCAGCATTGCTCTTGGCAACGATGCCGTCATTACTCTGTCAATCCGACAATGGCCTAGTCTCGAGCTTTTCGAAACCATCTACTTCCTCCAGCTGACAATCATTAATCTTGAGCGTAATGTTACCC